TGCCTGTCTCTGAGAGGCTGTGCCATTTGGGGGGGTATTGTCTCTTTTTTCATGAAGGTCTTGAGGGGCGAAGGACATCCCAGATCTGACATCTGCCCTGCACCCCAGAAAGGGATAGGTTTGTCTGGCTGGCTGGGGGTCCCCTCACAGAGCCCCCCGAAAACCCTTTCTAGGCATGCAGGGGTTTCTGAAGGGGCCCCCTTGCAAGACCCCCTCCCACATCCCATGACCTGGCTCAGAGCCAAGCCCAACCTGAGACTGAGCGAGGGGCCCCAGGTGCCAAATGTCCAGCTGTGTGACTCTCCTGGGCCTCAGTTTCTTCATTTGTGAAATGGGATTGCAGGAGGGCTTTGAGGATCCTGTGGGATGACACAGGCCCATTGCTGAGCTCACAACGGGAGCTTGGTAAATCCATGCTGAATCAACAAACGAATGAATGAATGAATGAATGAATGAATGAATGAACTGTCGAGCCTGCAGGAGTCTGGGCCAGTTGTGTCGTCTGTCCAAGCCTGGTTTCTCCTCCATGAAGTGGGGAAGGTGTAGACACAGCGAGCCTGCAGGAGTCTGGGCCAGTTGTGTCGTCTGTCCAAGCCTGGTTTCTCCTCCATGAAGTGGGGAAGGTGTAGACACAGCTGGACCCACGCTCTTGAGTTATTTCCCAGCACTTTGCTCTTTGCCCACGGGGAGAGGGACTGGGGTTCCTTTTCCGTGGGGTCTGGAAACCATAGCTCTTGTCTCATTTCCTTTCAGTTGTCATTTGTGGACCCTGTGCTGGGCCTCGGGTGAGGAGGTGTGCCCAGGGCCTCTCGGCCCCCTGCCCCCGGGAGCCCACCCAAGAGGGACGGTGTGTCTGGTGGGGGCCGTAGCGCCTGAAGCGGATGGACTTGGAGGGGAAGTCTTCAGGGGGAGGTGTCATGTGAGGGGTCTCTTCACAGTGAGGATGGGGTGTGGAGGGGCGAGTGCCAGCCAGTGAGTTCAACAGTGGTGTCCTGGGGGCCTGGGAGGAGGAGTGGGGAGGAAGGCCAGGAAGCCACCCCCTAGGCAGAAGGAGCCACGGCAGCACCTAGAGCAGGAGAGCGGCGGGGTCTGGCTTTGCTGGGAGAGGCTTTGCTGGGGCTCCAGGGCAGAAGGGGAGGCTGGAATAGTGACCTGGGGACCACCTTGCTTCCTTCTCCTCCATACCACCTGGAAATGACCTAGTGGGGGCCTCTCCTGGGTCCCCACGTCCTCTAAAGCCACAACTATGCATCTTCTAAAGGACCATCTTTGGGGCCCCAGCCTGACCGCTGGGGACACCTCCTGCAGTCCCTCCCCCAGCGGCCTCGGTTTCCCTGTCTGTAATATACACAGGTCAGACATGAGGGACCCTGGTTTCTCAATGATGTGTGGCTTGGTTGACATCACCCAGCAAAAGCTGGGGGATAGAGCAAGGACTGGGTCTCAGCTATCTAATGTGTGCCCACCCCAAAGACACAGACACTCCCCAAAGCCCTGGCTCCTTGGCTAGAGGGTTGGCTGGATTCCAAGAAGACCCTGAGGAAACCTGCCCGCCCGCAGGAGATTGGGCCTCTGTTTCTGATTTTCTCCTCTCGCTTTCTGATTTGCCCATCTGTAGAATGAGAATGTTTTCATCTCATAAACTTGTTTAGAGATCAAATAAGTCAATGGATATAGGGATTCCTCCAACATGAGAAACTGTCTCCCTACCCCAAACTCTTACTCATACTTCAAAACCCACCGCAGATTTTCCATCTTCAGTGAAGCCCCAGGATAGCCTCTGGCTCCTCACTCCTCTATGCTCTAGGGTCTCCCAGGGGGTGGTCCCTACCTCTGCCTCAATCCTGACCGCATAGGTCTGGGAGTGACTGTATCTACCTCTGTCTCCCCTCACGCCAGATTAGTGAGTCCTCCCTGGGGTTGCAAAATTACCCAGCATGGGGCACACCGGGAATGTTACTGAATAAATGAAAGGAGGAAGGGAGGGAGCAGGGAAGGGATGCAGCCATGGGGAGCCAGAGAAGGTGGAGGAGGGAGGGAGGGCAATAGGCAGAGACCTCGGTGGGACAGATGGAGAGAGGGAGCCGGAAGGAGGTGGGCCGAGCCAGATGGGCGGGCAGGGGCGACAGGAGGGGGGGGTGTGGGGAGACCCACCTCCCCCCCCCCCCCCCCCCCGCCGCACGCCTCCTCCTGGCTCGGCGGGCAACGCCTGCAGGGCCCGGCCTCTGGCGGGCGGATCGTCAGCTCCCGCCTGGGCGTCGGGCGCAGGGAGCGAGGCGCGGGGCCGGTGCGTGCGTGCGGCGTGTGCGCGCCTGTGCGCCCAGGGCCGGCCGGGAGGGCGGCGGCACGTGGAGGCCAGCCTGGCGCGCGTCTCCAGGCCGGTGGGTAAGGCGGGCCGCGGGGTGCGGATGGCCAGGCCTCGGAGCCTCGGCTTTTGGGGGGGGGGGGGGGGGGGGGGGGGGGGGGGGACTGGGGAGGAGGGGACTGCCCGCCTGGCTTCTCGGGACCACACCGGGACCCTTGCCCCGAGCCCGAGCTGACCCGGGAGGGGGAAGGGGCCTCCCAGGAGGAGGCGGAAAGGTCCCAGGCTCCGCGGCGGGCGGGGGAGATGGGGCGCAGGTATCCAGGCCGCGAGAATTGGGGCGGGGGTGGAGGGTGCGGTGAGGGGGACAGGTTCCCTCCCCGTGGCCCCCCTCCCTCGCTCCCTCCCTCAGCTCATCCATCTCCAGAAGATTATATTTAAATATCTCTTTTGTGCAAGGCAGGAGCTGGTCTCGCCCCTAAGAGGCGGTTTCCATGGCAACAACAATTGCCAGCTTCCGTGTGGTGAATCAGCGTTGCCATGGCAACCCCATCCTCATCTGCCCAAGGTGCTGGGAGGAGGGAGGAGGTGAGGGCCAGCGGAGGCGGGGTGGGAGGGGTGGGGGCGAACAGGAGGCTGGAGTTCAGGTGCCCGTACTCCCCCCACCTCCCTTCACAACCTGTCTGCCCCCAGCCCAGAAACTGGTCCCATCTGGTTGAAATAATCTCCCCCTCCTGCCTCCAGCGAGCTGGGTGTGGTACCCAGGTGGAGAGGGCCCGGGTTTGTGTGTGTGTGTATGTACGTGGTGGGGGAAGGGAGACATGGTTTTGCCTTTCCCAGGTGGTCGGGGTCCCTCTGAAGATGTGGCTGGGTGGCAGGTATTGGGGACACTGGGAGGCCTCTCTGCTTCTGAGGCTCCCAAGGCTGAGTTCAAATTGAGGCAGCCCATATGAGCCAGGGAACAAACAGAATGGGAGGGGCTCAGAGAGAGTAGGGAAGCTGGAGAGGGGGAGGGGGCTCAGGGAAACAGCGTGCAGCGTGAGGGAGGGGATTCCGATGGGGTGAGGAGGCTCAGAGCTGAGATAGGGTCCAAGACAAGGGGAAGGAGATTTGGGGGTTCATAGTTGGAGAGGGGTCTCCACTCATAGGAGTGGGTAGAAAGATCTTTGAATTTGACATCTAGGAAGGCTGCTTAGTGCCTCGACTCGCCCACCATGACCTTGGACAAATAGTCGGGGCCTTGATATTGACATCTGTAAGGCCCGGTGAAAATTGTGCCTGCCTCTGGAGCTTGCTGGGCACCTGCACAGCGACTAGAAAGCTGACATCCATCAAGCACCTTCTCTGAATGACCATGGGGATGGTCTGACCTGGGAGGGGGTCTAGGACTGGCACTCGTTCCAACCCCAGGCCAGGCGCAGAGCCACCAGGTACCTTCCATGCTGGTGTGCATCAGCCACTTCTTTCTGGTCAATTCAGTTCGGCAAGCTTCTCGGATTATCCCTGTCTGGTGTGGGGAGAGATGCCTGCTCTGAGAAAGCAAGACATAGACACTTCCTGCCCTGAGATGGAGGAAGGAACCCAGAGGGGTGGAAGGATTGCCTGCATGGGGGCTTTTGAGCTGGGTTTTGAAGGATGAATAGGAGTTCACCAGGAGACATGAGGCTTGGAGGAGGATTCTGTTCCCAGACCAGTGGAGAAGCAAATGCCACCCCCCTTCCCACATCCCTTGAGTTTATTCTCAAATATCCACATTAGCTCACACCCATGGCTGGGTCAGTTTGGGGGTGGGGATTAGAGGAGGATTTCTTCCGTTAAACATCATTTTCAGTGCTGGGGGTGGAGGACAGAAGTGTCCAGAGCAAGGAGCCCAGATTGAAAGCTGGTCCACTCAGGTATGACAGTCCTCCCACCCAAGGCTCAGAGAGCTGACTAAAAGTAGCTGCCTTGGTATAAGTCAGCTACTACTAAGTAACAAACCAACCCCACCATTTTATTTGTTGATTCTGTGGGTTAGTAAGCTCAGACTGGGCTCAGCTGGATGGTTCTTCTGCCGGTCTCTCCTGGGGTCATTCATGCAGTGGCAGGCAGGGCTTGCTGGGATGAGCTGGGACAGGCCAGCCTCATTCCCACATGCTGTTTGTCAGGGGGACCTCTCAGGGCATGAGTTCTGTCCTGTCCTGCCTGGGCGTATCACCTGGCAATGTCAGGGTTCCAAAAGAGGAAGCTGCAAAGTCTCTTGAGGCCAGAGCTTGGAACTCACACCACTTCCCTTCCACTACATTCCACTGGTCAGAGCAAGTCAGGAGGCCAAGCCCAGATGCAGAAGGGTGGGGAAATAGGCTCCAGTTTTTGATGAGAGAAACTGCAAAGTCACATCACACACAGGGACTAGAGGGATTGGACATCTTTGCAAAGAACCTACTACACTTGAGAAAGCAAGGAGGCTTCCTACAGCAAGAAATATTGTGACTGGGTTTTGAAGGTAAAGTAAGAGTTTTCCAGACTGCAATGAGTGAAGCCCCATCGGTGGAACAGATGGGGCTGTGTCACTCGTTTGACTGATTTGCTGCTGGAAGTTGGTGGGATGCTGAGCCTTGGGGAGGTGGTCAGGGTGCCTGGCAGAGCTCAAGCGAAGCCCCCACCCCTGATGCTCCCACTGTCAGCCTTGACCTCCTTCTCCCCTCTCTCTCTACAGATGGCGCGGCCAATCCAAGTGAAGCCGGCGGACAGCGAAAGCCGCGGAGGTAGTTGTCATCTCTCCGTGGCCACCAGGCTGGGGGGTGGCAGAAGAATGGGGGACGGAGGGGAGTCCCCGATCATAAGGCTGTAGCAGTCACCTCTCTGCTCACACACCTCATGGTGGTGGGAGAGGCAGAGTCCCCTGGCTAGGGTTGGGACAGGAGAGCGGCGGGTGGGGGGCGCTGTGTCCCTTCTTCCACACCACAGTGCCACAGGCCCAGGAGTGGAGGAGTTGTGGGGGGGATCTGGCTAGGTCCAGCTGCTTCCCCCAAGAACTTAAAATGCCCCACTCCCTGTAGGGTGCAGTATTGGGCGTCTTCTGATGCAGAGGGGCTGGGAACCCTGAAGGGACCCCTCAGGGGGATTGCTTTCAGTGTGTGTGTGTGTGCGCGTGCATACCTTGGCACACCTGTGTACAGATGTGTGTGAGCACGTGCACACGTGCATGTGTGTTTCTGTGGCTTATGCGGTGGGGCTGCCTGCTGGCCTGTGTGCATGTCTGCATGCCTGGCCTGTGTGTGGGCGTGTGTGTGCGAGCCTGTGTGCTTGACTGTTCCAGGCTGGGCGTGTGGGTATGCGGGCTGGAGGCCTGGCATCTGCATAGGTCTGGACTGTGTTGGGGATGTGACCGTGGGGGTATGCTTGACTGTCCCTAGTGGCATCCAAGCTAGCCATTCTGGGAGATTTTCCTACCCCCTCCCCATTTCAGGTGGACTGGGGGCTGAGGGGGAGCAGCCAGCCTTGGGGGTGGTGTGTGGGGCAGGGCTGTTAGGACGCCTGTGTATTTGTAGGAGCCTGGTACAGCCCATCTGGGCTGGGACCTGTTTTCGCACTCTCAAAACAGGCTGCTAGTGTAGGTCAGGGATTGGGATGGGGGTTGGGGGGTCCTGCATGTCTCCGTCTCTTCTCTTCTCTCTTCTCTCTCTTAATAATTCTTCCTCTTCTCCTCCTCCTCCTTCTGTCGCTCTCTCTCTGTATCACCTTCTCTTTCTCCCTCTCACTTCATACCTCTTTCTCTCTCATTTTTTTCTCTCCTTCTGTGTCTCTGATTCTCTCTCTACTCTTGGTGTCTCTCTTTGTCTCTTACTGTCTCTCCCTTTGACTGTCTCTGTGTTTCTCCGTCTCTTTCTCTCTCACCTGTCTCTTTCCCTGACTCTCAGTCTCTCTGCTTCTATGCCTCTCTCTTCCATCCCCATGAGTGACAGCTGTCAGAGAACAGGTTTCCATAGTAACCCAGCTCACCATCCCTGGGAGATGAAGCTGCCTTGTTCCTGATTGCAGGGGAACAGCCCAGTTACCAGAGGGAGCAGGACTCTGGTGCCTCCAGCCAGGCCTCCAGCCAGACCCTCACCCCCACCCCACCAGATGGGGGCTCCAGGCTTCGGGCACCTGGTCCTGCGCGCACACGTGCCCTCGCTCATTCAACAGACTTTGACTGCCTGGCCCCTCTTGAGGACGCAGGGGCCATCAGCGCTCACCCCCGACTGGGAAATCTAGATGGCAGACAGACAGACAGGGACCCAGGCCAGGCAAGGCAGTTCTTACGCTAGTACTATGTGTGAGTTCTCCGAGGGCGAGGAGAGAGACCATCTTTGGCCGGAGGGTGGGAGCAGTGAAGCGGTGGCCCTGCCGGGTTGAAGGGAGGGCATTCCAGGAGAGGGGCACTGCGTGAGCAAAGGCTTGGAGATGAGCCGTGCACGGCACGTGGGAGGATGGAGAGGCCCAGAGCAGGGAAGCGCGCGGCTGTGTCCTCCCACACACAGGCAGAACAGGGGCCAGCAGTGCTCCCCCCCACGCCCTGCTGCCTCCATTCTGTTGGAGGGACCGAGAAATTCCCGGAGGCCAGGACTCGGCTGAGGGGGTGTCTCCGCCCACAGGAGACCGGAAGCTGTTTGTGGGGATGCTGAATAAGCAGCAGTCGGAGGAGGACGTGCTGCGGCTGTTCCAGCCCTTTGGGGTCATCGACGAATGCACCGTGCTGCGCGGGCCTGATGGCAGCAGCAAAGGTGACCGGCCGGGGGCGGGACTGGCCCGGTGGTGGAGCTGGGAGCGTGGGGGGATGGGCCTAGTCTGGGCACGGGGGGGCGGGGTTGGTTCCTGGGGGCGGGGCCGGGCACATGAGAAGGTCGGGAACGGCTGCGGGGGTGGATCCTGGCACCTGGGAGGGCGGGGTTGGCTTCTGGGGGCGGGGCCAGGCTCCTGAGAAGGTGGGGTTGGCGTCTGGGGCGGGCCAGAGCATGTGGAAGGGCGGGTTTGGCGCTTGAGAAAGCCAGGTTGGCTTCGGGGGCGGGCGGGTCACGTGGGAGGACAGGTTTGGCTCCTGGGGGCGGGGCCAGGCACGTGAGAAGGCAAGACTGGCTCCTGGGGGAGGGGCCTGGCACGTGGGAGGGCGGGGTTGGCTCTGGGGGAGGGGCCATGCTCTTGAGAAGGCGGGACTAGGTTCTGGGGCGGGATAGGGTACGTGGGGGCGGGGTTTGACTCCTGGGGGCGGGGTACGTGAGAAGGCGGGGGTTGGCTCTTGGGGGCGGGGCCAATCACGTGGGAGGCTGGGGTTTGTTCCTGGGGCGGGGGCTGGGTGGGCGGAGACTGTAAGGTCCCACCTGGTCCTGCCTGCGGGCCGCTTGTGCCTACCTGACTGGGACATTTTCCTGTGGACTGCCTGATCCTGGCTGAACATCTAGGAAAGACTTTAATGGTCCACAGCGACCTGTTTACCTGTCTGTCCACGTGACTGGTTGTGACTGCAGATGAGCATCACTGCACCTGCGGCTCTTAGTCTCTGACTTTCTGCCTGAGTGTCTAAATGGTTATTTCTGTTTGGGTCTTCATGCGTCTGGTGGTCTTTGTCTGTCCGTCTACTTGATTCTACCTTTTTGAGTTCATCTATCAGGCAGCAACTCTTGCCCTGCCTGTCTCTGGCCCTCAAAACGTTTTATCTTCTAGGACAGAATGTATCCCATGGTCCCTATTTGCTTGGCTCTCCCTCTCTTTAAATTATTTTTATTTTTCATTTTTTAAATGTTTTTTAAAGTTTATTTATTTACCATCTCTACACCGAATGTGGGGCTCAAACAACCCCAAGATCAAGAGTCGCATGCTCTACCGTCTGAGCCAGCCAGGCGCCCCTCTTTTTTTTATTGATTTTAATTGATATCTACACACTGTAAAATTCGCCTTTTGAAAGTGTGCAGTGGAGTGCTTTATGTTCAAACAATTGTGCAACCATTGCCACTCTCTAATCCAGAACATTCCATCGTCCTACCCTACCCCCAGTCTTCCATAGTACTCTGCCTGTCTGGAACTATGTCTAGTAGTCTCTCCTTATGATTGTGTGTCTGAATTCACCTGTGTCTGGTGGTCCCTGGTTGCCTAATTTCTGGTTTCTTCCTGTGTGACCAGCCAGCTGGGTCTGACCTGTCTGGTATGTATGTATGGATGGATGGATGTATCTATTTTTTTTCTATCCCCATCTCTCCAACTCTGGTCACATGGGCCTGTCTGGGTCTGAATGTATCTGTGCCTGAGTGTGCCCACAGGGCCGTATCTCAGTGCCTGTGTCTGAACATTTGTCACCTTCTCTCTTCATATCTGATTATAACTCGATCTCACGGTGTCAGCAGCTGGTGGGGTCTAAGCCTGCGCCCTTCACTAGTTCCAGCGAGCAGGACCTGCCCCGCCAACCGCACACCGCCTCTCGGTGTCTGTCAAACCACGCGAGCCACAAACAGCTGTGGAGCTGGTGGCTTTCTGAGTGAATGGGTGGCCACCTGGCTGATGTCATACGTGCGCTTGTCTTATTGCCTGATCCTTTATTGTCCAGCTGTCTGTCTGAACAAATTACTGGCTGTCTCTCTGTTCTGACTGTCTGACCAGCCATCCAGGGCTCCCAGTCCCCTCTCCTGTGGCACCTGCCCACCCAGAAAGACCCCGTTGCCCCTCACGCATTCTCCTTCTCTTGGGGCAGGCTGTGCCTTTGTGAAGTTCTCCTCCCACACCGAGGCCCAGGCGGCCATCCATGCCCTGCACGGCAGCCAGACCATGCCGGTGAGTAGGGCCCATCCCGGGCCATGGTGCTGGGTGTGCGGAAGGGGGGAGGGGACAGGGACGAAATCTCTCCCTACTGGTCCCTCCATCCCGTAGCCTCAGGCTGTTCATCAGCAAGGCACAGGTGGAGAGAGAGGTGCAGTCTCTGATGGTGGTAGGGGTACGTGTGCGCATGTGAGTGTGCGATTGTGCATGTGTGGAGCATGTGAGTGTGTGAGCATGCACGGATGTACTGCCAGTGTGTGGCGACATGTGTGTCTGTGTGTGTGTTTAAGAGAGAACATGTGAGTGCATGTGTGTGTGGTTGTTAGTAGGGGATTGGTAATGTACACGTGAGGTGTGTGTGTTTGAGAATATGTCCGGATATGTGTGTGTGCCAGTGCGCATGTGTAAGTGTGCTGAATGGGTGTGTGTGAGTGGATTGTGTGGTATGCATGTAGGTGTGTGCACGTGTGTGTTTATGCATGTGTGTACTGAGCGCATGTGTATGTGTGGGTCTGTCTCGCTGATGTGGAGGGAACGAGCACATTGTGCATCTGTGGGTATATGTGAGGGCAAGTGTGTGAGTGTGTGTGGATGGGTGTGTTTGTGAATATGTGTGTATGTGACTACATGTGTACATGTGTGATTGTGTGCCTCTGAATGTATTGTGTGAATGCATGTGTGATAGGCATGGTGAGTGTAAATGTGTGCACATATTTGTGAGTGTATTCGTGTCTGTGAGTGTGTTTGTGTGGGTGGTGTTTGTGTGTGTGCAAATGTGCATGCGCGTGCATAGTGAGTCTGCATGTGGATGTGAGTGTGAGCATGCATAGTGTGTGTATGTGTGTGAGTGTATGAACATGTGGGGTGTGTGTGTGAGCATGTGTGGTGTGTGAGGTTATGTTTTTAGGTGCATGAATGTGTGAGCATGCATGGTGAGTGTGTGTGTGACTGTGTATGAACGTGTGTGAACGTGTGTAAGAGTATGTGTGCATGTGTGTGTGAGTGTCCATGCGGGTTCCTAGAGGGGTGGGGCCTGAGGGGTGGTTTGGCTTTGTGGAGGCCAGCAGGGGAACGTGGGGCGTGGGGCATGACAACAAGCATGGGGGTGGGGGCGCGTAGCCCCAGAGGAGCAGGGGGGATGGCTGGAGGGGCTGCAGCCAACGGCCGAGGAGCACGGGGTTCCTAGGGCAATGAGGAGTCATGGAAGGTTTTGACAGGGCAGGGAAGGGGCCAGGTCAGTTGGAAGTGTCCCCTGGGCCAGAGTGGGGATGGGCAGGGGGCAGGTCTGGAGCGGTGAGAGGCTGGGGAGGACCAGCCAGGTACTGGGAGTAGCCCTGCCCTCCAGAAGGAGCTGCTAGGAGCCACATCGCTGTACATAAGTGTCTGAATCTGCCACAGGGAAGACAGGCCTTAGAGAACCAACTCTCCTCTCAGCTGTTCTCAAAAACGGGTGTGAGGAGCAGGGTAGCCTCAGAGCCTGCTGTCCCTTGCATTCTGGGCTCTGGGGCCTCAGTTTTAGTCCTGGAGTGGCAGGGTTCGGCTCACCGTGAGGTCAGGCTTTCACATGCACACAGCTGACCAGTGATGGGGCGCATCAGGGAGTGAGCTCTCCAGCAAAGGGGGCATGTTCCCTCTCTGATGGTTGGAGTCTCAGCTGTCCTTAGGTGTGAGTGACAGTTATAGGGTCTTCCACTTGGGTCTCCGTTGTTTCTCCCCGCCAGTTGGACTCTCCATTTTTGAGAGTGTGGCTGATAGTCAGGGTCCTCTACTGTGCCCCAGACGCGACCCCCTGGGCTCGGATGCCCCACCTGTGCCCACAGGCGGCTGCATGGTCAAGTGCGAGACCCAGGATGCTAATCTGTGAGCTGTTCTCGCTGTGACGTGCGTGTCCTGCAGCTACGGGCACACGGGCAGGACCAGCAGCTGCTGACATCTACGGTGCTCCCCCCGAGGGCCAGAGCTGGCGCGGTTCCAGGAACCCCAAAGTCCTGGCTACCTCCCTCCTTTCCCTCCTTGCTTGCTGCTGCCACTGTAGGGTGCCTCCTCCAGCCTGGTGGTCAAGTTTGCCGACACCGACAAGGAGCGAACACTGCGGCGCATGCAGCAGATGGTGGGCCAGCTGGGCATCCTGACGCCATCCCTCACCCTGCCCTTCAGCCCCTACAGTGCCTACGCCCAGGCTGTGAGTGACCCCAGCAGTTGCACTTCTGTCTCCAGCAGGGCTCCCAACACCACTCTGGGGGTCCGGCTCAGTCTCTCTCTCCATCCATGCTCTGTTGGCGGTTCTGCCTCTCTGCTCATCTTTCTGTATCTTGCCCAATCTCTCTGATTCACGATCCTATCCTGGTCATGGTTGAGTCCCCAAATCCAGGCTGATTCCTGAACCCCCACCCCCAGCTGAACCCCCAACCATGAACTGAGCCCCAGGCCCAAGTTGAACTCTAACTCTGGACTGACACGACCCCATACTTAGCCCCTAAATCTAGGCTGGGTCTCAAACCCAAAAGGAGCCTCTAAATCGAGACTCCAAACTGAGACCCAACCCTGGCTGGGTTCAATGTTGGCTGATCCCTGATCCCAAACCAAGTCCAGATTCCTGACTCAGCCCTCATCTCAAGCCTGAGCCCTGATCCTAGACTGAGCCTTGATCCCATGCTGAGCCCCAATTTCTAACTGAGCCCGGACCCCAGCCTGAGCCAAGATAGCCAGTCTGACCCCCTCCCCTCCCAAGTTACTTGAGGACCAGGCCTCCTCCCATGAGTCATGACCTCAGGGCAGGTGTCACCCTTATTGTGCACGCTGACTCCCTTTCCACCCCCAGCTCATGCAGCAGCAGACAACGGTCCTGTCCACGTCGGGCAGCTACCTGAGCCCTGGCGTGGCCTTCTCACCCTGCCACATCCAGCAGATTGGCGCCGTCAGCCTTAACGGGCTGCCTGCCACGCCCATCGCCCCTGCCTCTGGTGAGAGTCCGCCAGGGGCCTAAGGATGGGTGGGCAGGGCAGGGCCAGGGCCAGGCTCAGGCTCCCCATGGTGCTCCTCCATTCTGCAGGACTGCACTCACCCCCCCTGCTTGGCACCACTGCCGTGCCCGGACTTGTGGCTCCTATCACCAATGGCTTCGCAGGTGTCGTGCCCTTCCCTGGGGGGCACCCTGCCCTAGAGACTGTGTATGCCAATGGCCTTGTGCCCTACCCAGGTAACTGGAGTGGTCCCCTGGGATCTGGGGAGGGGGCGGGGAGGGTGTCTCTGGGACAAGCATGAGTTCCTATGCCATGGTCCCTGGGAAACAGAGGGAGTCTCAGCTGAACAGATGTGAGCTGTGAGCACAGAGAAAGTGCTGTCGCAGGGTGGTTAAAACATGGGAACTTTATATCCAGACATTTCTGGGTTCAAATTCCAGTTTGGTGGTCCCGGATGGTCTCTGTGAGTCTCTGGGCCTCAGTTTCTTCACCTGGGAAATAGGGCAGATGACATCAGTCATCTCAGGAGGTTGCACTGACAATGAAATTAGCATGTCAAATGCTTAACACATCGCCTGTACCAAGAACAGCACCATCAATCTTAATTATTAATCATCACTATTTAGGAAGATATCAGTACCCATATTCATTCATGCATCCATCCATTCAGTATTAGCCATGCACCGAATTAGGCTGGGCCCTACCTTTGTGAAGCAGAGGTCCCACCTTTCCCGACCCTATACCACAATCCCCAGGCAAGCCTCCTCCGACACCTTGCCTAGGTGAAATCATCTGCATTTCCACCATTGAGGAGAATTTATTTTTATTTTGAAATGATTGGAACTCACAGGGAGTTTCAAAAATAGTACGGAGAGGTCCTGGTCCCTCCAACCGAGCCCTCCGCCCCCCAAGCTGACAGCTTACATAACCCGAGCACATTGTCGAAACCAGGAAGCTGACATTGGTACAATACAATTAACTCAACAGGAGTTGGACACCTTATTCAGACTGCACCACTTTCTGTGTGCACTCATATGTGTGTGTGCACATGAGGTCTGTGCCATGTTATCACAGGTATAGGTTTGTGTAACCACCACCAAAATCAAGACACAGAACTGCTCCATCTCCATGGGGTGATTCGTTCATGTGACCCCTTTATGGTCACCCCCCCCACACACACTCCCATCCTCTAGTAACCTCTCTCCATTCGAGCAGAATCTTTTGGCTGAAATCTCCCCCCTGATGCACCAGCTCTAGCAGTCTGGACAACCTCTCCCCTCCCCTTACCTCCTCCCCTGGGAGCCATTGGGAGGTCACAGCCACATGGGGGATCCACGGGGTGTCTGATGAGTGAGGCTTGGAGTGGGAGAGAGGGAAACGGATGGGGGTGGAGGGTGATCAGGAGCAGAGGCCTGAAGTCCTGGAGAATCCAGAGAATAAAGAGGAAGAGCGAGGGGCTCCGGATGGGGACAGAGAGATGGGGGTGATGGTTAAACCTCTCTGGAGTCCTGTTCGACTTCTGCCATTTCCTATCTGAGTGGCCCTGTGCCAGTTGCTTCACCTCTCTGAACCTCAGTTTTCCTGTCCATAAAATGGGGACAATACCTGTAAAACGTTTATGCAGAGGTGAGGCTGGGGCAGATGTTTGTTGCTCTCCTTCTGGGTCCTAAGTATCGGGGTTGGATGGCAGATCTGCTGCCCTCGTCCCACTCAGCCCCTCCGTCTGCCCCGCAGCTCAGAGCCCGACCGTAGCCGAGACCCTCCATCCCGCCTTCTCCGGAGTCCAGCAGTACACAGGTACGCGGGCAGTCCGGCCCAGCCTCGGGCGTGGCCCCGCCCCCTTGGCCCCGGCTTCCTTCCTGTCTAGCCCCTCCCCCTTAGCCACAGCCCGCTTCTGGCCCCGCCTCTCAGGGGGCCGCCCTTTCGTTTGGCCTTCCCTCTTGCACCTAGCCACGCCTCCTACTTCTGGCCCTGGCCCAATCCCAGGCTTTGGCCCCACCCCTCCTCGTCCCTTGCAGCGTCTGGTCCCGCCCCTCATATCCTGCCCCGTCTCTGCTAGGGCCCCGCCCTCAACCATGGCCCTGCCCCTCAAGCTCTGGCCCCACCCACTCTGATCTTATGTGGCCTTGGCCCCTCCTCCAGGCCCGCCCTCGGTTGTGGCCACGCCCCCGCCTGATGCCAGGCGTTGACCCCACCCCCTCGTGGCTCTGCCCCGCTCTTCGCCGGGCCTTGGCCCCTCCCCTAGGCCCGCCCCCCGCCGCGGGCACGCCCCGCCTCCCTCCCGAGACCGCCGTGGCCCCGCCCCCGCCCGCCCCGGGCCGCCCACCGGCCTCACACCCGCCTCCGCCCTGTGTCTCGCTCCCGGTCTCCGCAGCCATGTACCCCACCGCGGCCATCACGCCCATCGCGCACAGCGTCCCCCAGCCGCCGCCCCTCCTGCAGCAGCAGCAGCGAGAAGGTGAGGGGGCCGCGACCTCCCCTGGGCGCCAGCCCCGCCCTCTGACCGCCCCCTCCACCTCCAGGACCCCGGTCCTGACCTGGCGCGCGGCCTCGGGGAACCGCGGCTAAGAGCGCGGCGGGCTGGCCGGACAAACCTGGGTTCGAGTTCTGGCGCGGCCCATGGGTGTCCTGGGGGAACCGAATCACCCTCTCTGAGCCTCGGCTCCCTCCTCTGGAAAACCCCCAGCCGCCCTCTCCAGGACTGGACGATTCTCTGAGTTTTTGGAAAGGACGTTCGTCTTGAGGTCGGGCAGGGGGGCGGTGATGAGGTATCTCAGGGAAACTGAGGCCTCGCCAGTAAAGTGGAGAGAGGGAGGAGTTAGATCCTGGAGTCCGACAGCCGGAATTCAGATCCACCCAGTTCTGACTGCGACGTCATAAGGAAAGCTGCACTTCACTGCCCCGTGCCTCAGTTTCCTCTTCTGCAACAGGAGCGACCATCTGGGTCAAGAGGCCTTACTAGGAAGGAGGCAGGGCCGTTCCTGACACACAGTGCGGCGCAGCACCCAGGAAGGCCCTTTCCCTCGCGCATCCAGCTAGTGGGGTGGGGAGAGGTGACCAATTCGCCCCATGGCCAGGGGAGCTCCGCAGTTGGCCTGGCCTGCAGACCGAGTTCTTTGAGGCTCTGCCCCACTTCTCCCTTGCCCTTGCCCCTTGGAAGGGGGGCACTGCCAGGATACAGGAGCTGAGCTTTGGGAGGCGAGCCCTAGGCTGAGGGGTCCCCAGCTCCGCCAACCAGCTGTTACCCCATTCTCTGTCAGATTTTATATTTCCAGGGGGCTCTGTGGTTAAAGTCACAGAAGAGCCGGCATGAGGACTTGGCAGTGCCGGCAGCTCCAATGTGACTTTCAGTGACCTCCCGGGACCCCCCGGGCGGGCCAGTGCGAGCTTCAGAGAGGGCCCAGCTGCCTCGGGTCACTGTTTTGTGGATGGCTCGGACCTGGGTGTCTCCCTCCCCAGTCCCTGCTCCAACTTCCCTCCACCTGGGCTGAGGGTAAAAGCTGGTGCAGAGGCGGTCAGTGCTGCTGTTAACTCACGACCAGCGCTCTGGAGAGTGCCCATAGCATGCAGAACAATCTGCAAGACTCCTGCTTGCACCATTCCAAACCTCTGTCCGTGACATGTCAAAGCAAAACTAAAGATAGAGCCCTAATAAAAATGGTAGCACGGTGTTATGCACGTGAGCAGGTTAAAAAAATACGCTCAGTGTGGCATTTTATCCTGGCACAGAGCTCAGGTTTGCGCGTGGAGGTGGCATTGATGGCATTGATGGGAAGTGTTGTCGCCGTGGGCTGCTGCGAAGTGGCGGAAAGAGACTTGTCTGAAGTCAGGCGGGGAGTCATAACCCCGGACGGACGGGGATGCGTGTGGCTCACAACACACTTGGGGAGCTGAGGGAGTGATAGGCGTTCCCGCTGTGAGTGTGTTCTCCTGAGGTCCGACTCAGCTGGGTGCGGCCTTCTGCATTCACCCCGTGTTTCTCGGAGATGAGATAGCACACAAGCACACCTAACATTTGTGTTGCAGTCAAGATTGTGCGGTCGGAATCAATCACGATGATCGCATTGGGACACACTTGCATTTTAAAAAACAAGCGCTCTTAGAGCTGTGGACCTAATCAGGAAGGTGAGGGTTGGATGTCAATGGGACACTGGACAAAATCCAATCTTGGATTTTGTATTTCCTGGGGTGGAGAATACTCATTTCCAGGCCGAAGGGGATTCTTGGTGGTTGGGAGGTTCCCCGCGTTTTGTGGGGGCATGGGAGAAGGTCATCTGTTGGTTTGGGATTAGGGGCAGGTTTGGAGACTGTTCATGGCTTCAGATAATGAAGGTTTTTAAATTTGATTGTTATTTATAGATTTTACGTGACCTGTGCATTGGGGATTATTTGGGGATGGAATGGTTTTGAGAGTTAGCTGTGCTTTTTACTTTTGCAAAAGTATTTCTGGTTGGTACAGTATATCATTTTAAAATTCCCAGGTGGGGGCCGGGGACGCCTGGCTGGCTCAGTCAGTAGAGGACACAACTCTCGATCTCACGGTCGTGAGTTGGAGCGCCACATTGGGCATGGAGCCTACTTAAAAATAAATAAAAATATAATAAAATTACCAGGTGTTTTGGGGACTAGACAATTTTTTTTATCTTACTTGATTTTATTTTTGTGTTGTGTGGGTTTTGAAAATTATTCAAGGTTTGGAGGATTATCCACGGTTTTGAAAACTAGATATTTGGGGTTTGGGACCAGAGGATGATTTGTCTTACTTTATTCTATGATCGTCGGACTTGTAAAACATGAACATTTTATTTTAAAACCAGTCTTATATTTACAGAATTAGTGCATAGAGAGAGCAGAGTGTCCGCATACCCCACATACAATTCATCTGATGTCGTAAATGGTCTGGAGTTTCCAGTGTAGGGATTTTTCAGGGGTTTCCGGTTGTCTGGGATTTGGGGATTGTCCAGGTTCTGGCATTGAGGGATTTATCTCAGTTTTGTGGGGAGGCGCCATCTGAATTTTGTAAATTATCTGGGACCTGAGGATCATCAGAGGTTCGGCATACTTGAGTGTGGGATTAGACAGGCGAGGGTAAGCACGCCCCGCCTCCCCTCCCCGCCTCTCCACGCCCCTGCTTCCTGGTGTCACGGGCACCCTCCCCCAACAGCTAGAGATGCCAGAGGTGGGCTCCAGTCCCGCGCCCCTCCCCCAGGGGGGGTCCGCCTCCTCTCCTTGGGGGCTTTATGTCTTTCTCTCCCCCACCTGCAGGTCCCGAAGGCTGTAACCTGTTTATCTACCACCTCCCCCAGGAGTTTGGAGACACGGAGCTGACGCAGATGTTCCTGCCCTTCGGCAATATCATCTCCTCCAAGGTGTTTATGGATCGGGCCACCAACCAGAGCAAATGTTTTGGTGAGTACCTGCTGCAGGCACCCCTTCCTGCTTGCCAGCCCCATCCCCAACTCCGCCCGCCAAGGAACAGGGGCGTGGGAGGGTGTGGTCCAAAAGAATAACATTTAGAAGTTAGAATGAGCACTTATTAAGCACCTACTGTGTGCCAGGCACCATGCTGGGTGCTGGTACAGAGCAGTGAAGGAAGCCAACAAAATTCCTGCCTTCCAAAGCTCGCAGTCTTGCTGCACTGCCCAACAGAATTTTCTCCACCCGCGGAGGTGTTCTCTACACCTCTGCTGTCTGAGCCGTCAGCCACACGTGGCCACCAGACACCTCAAGTGTGGCAGTTCAACCACAGAAGCGAAGTTGTAGTTTTCACAAATCTAAATCTAAATTACCACCTGTGGCCAGCGACCACGGAGCCAAAAAGCACAGGTTTACAGGTAGGAGGTGGGAATAAACAAGGCAGGACATAGGCCAGGGGCTTATAAATGGCATGAAGAACACCATCACCATCTACTCCTAAGGACATAGAAGCTGGTATGCAGGAGGTGATGTTTCAGCTGAGACCCAAATAATGAGATTTCCCAGCCCCAGGACGTCGGGGTACAGGGTTCCGGGCAGAGGGAGCAGCACATGCAAAGGTCCTGGGGCAGAACTAGGTCTGGTGTGTTGGAGGGCCAGCCAGGAGGCCCATGTGGCTGGAGCAGGGTGAGTGAGGGGGTGAGAGGGAGGAGGAGAGGGCAGGGTGGGGACAGGGCAGGGAGGGGATGGGGCAGGGAGGGGACGGGGCAGGTCGTGCGGGGCCTTGGATGCCTCCAAGTCCACACAGCAGCAAAGAGGCAGCACCTAGACTAGAACCAGTCTGTGTGACTCTAAAATGTGGACTCTTAATCCCACCCTGTTGTATTCAAAAGGCCAACTCTTGCCTATTTAGTAAGCGCCTCCTGTATATACTCAGTATCCAACCATGAAATAGAAGAATTGCCCCAATTTAGCGAGGAAGGACGAGAGGCACCGAGTGGTCAAATAGCACACTTGAGGTCACACCAGTAAGGGTCCCTGCCCACGCCCAGGCCCCTCCTCAGCATCCTGCTTGCGGGACGAAGGAGGCAATGTGTGTAGAGGAAACCCCTCAATCCCCCTCAACAGTGAGGAGTCCTAGGTGTTCTCTGAGCCTCAGTTTCCTGATCAGTATGGCGGGGGGCAAGTGTTAGGGGAGATAAGAGATGTGAAGACGTCCCCCCCAGCTCCACGTTCCCCCGTAGCTCCCCAGTGGGCCCCTGCAAGACCGTTCAACCCTGCCCCACCGTCTCTCCACCTGACCCCCCACCCGGCCTCTCACACAGAGCTCAGGGATCCCCGCCTCAAATGCTTGTGCATGCAGTCCCTTGCCCCAGAGGGCCCCTGGCCCCTGTGGCCTCCACACCATCCCAGGAAGCCTGTGAGGACCCAGAGGGGAGGGGCAGGAGCAGGGCAGGGTGGCCTGGGGCAGCAGGTGGAGGGATTGGGGCTGATGGAAGCTTGAGGAGCGCCAGGCTGGGATGTTTCCGATTACCTGGTAGGAGTGGGGGGAGATAGGGGTAGAGAGAGACAAAGGTAGAGAAAGAGAGATAAAAGGCAGAGCGAGGAGACACAAGGACACGCGCACAGAGACAGACAGAGTCCGATGCACGGTCCAGATCCCAGATGGATAGCGGTTAGCATCCAGGGTCTGGAAGAAGGCAGGCAGCCACGATGGGGAGGGAGGGAGAATGTGGCCCTCCCAGGACCCCCAGAGGCCCCACCTGTTCCCTCTGTGGGAAGTCTCAGCAGAGCAGACCCCAGGTAAGGAGCAAGCACCCCGTCCCCAGGGGCATGTAAGTCCAGAGGGTGTCAGAACCAGGCCCCGGGCTGCTGTGTGTGCTCTGGCACGCCCTCCTAACTCCCTGGGCCCATCTGCCCCTGCGAGCGCACACCCCCGCCCCCAGGACCCCGCGAGCCGGGAAGCCTGGGCCGCAGCACCGGAGGACGCGGAGGACGCCCACGTTGCCCACCATCGCGGGTCCACCCCGGTCTCCGCAGGCTTCGTGAGCTTTGACAACCCGGCCAGCGCGCAGACGGCCATCCAGGCCATGAACGGCTTTCAGATCGGCATGAAGAGGCTCAAAGTGCAGCTGAAGCGGCCCAAAGACCCGGGACACCCCTACTGACCGCGCCCACAGCCGCCCGGAGGCTGCGGGCCTGGCCCAGGTGAGCCGCCAGGCGGCCCCAACCACACCCCGCCCCCACCCCGTCTTGGCCAAACACCCTCTCGTTCTCCAAACCCTCCCCAGCCCCGGGGGATGCTGCTGGAGGCCACGAGGAGCCCCCAGGTTGGGTTGGTGAGGACAGAGCTAGACCAGAGTCACCCCCCATTCCCCCTTCGGTCAGGGCTGGAACAGAGGGTGTAACCAGGGTCCAGGGGTGGTTGGGGAATCCTTCCAGAAGAAGGCTTTGAAGGATGAATAGAAGTTCGCCTGAGAGGCCAGGTTTGGTCTGGGGTGGGGTGGGCTCTGGGCAGGGGCTTCTGTCCTGTGTCCTACAAATCTCACAGCTGGGCCCCTGTCATAGCTCCTTATTTGGTGTAATTCGTGCTCAGTGGACTGGTGAGAAAGTGGAATGTTTGCCCTGCTCACCAGCATGCCCCGCCCCCAAAAAAGATACCCCCAAACACATCCCCAAGAGTGTATTTTGCCATCAGAGAGAACAGCTTTATCAACAACTAAACACCTTCTTTGGGGAATGAACAGTGAGCCTAAGGGGCCAGTGGGGAGACGTAACTGACCGCAAACCTTGACGAGCCTCATCTGTGGAATGGGTTCGTGAAAGTCGCCTCCCGAGAGGCAGCAGGGAGGATCCGCTTGGGGATGCGGTGTTTTCCCAGCCGAGCCCAGGACCCGCCACCTGGAAAGCTCTTGATCATTCGTTTTTTTCTTTTTTCGATCACGAGCGCCGTCGTCATCAAAGCGCTGCGCCTGGGGTCTGGCGCGAAGTAGGTGCTCAGTTAGGGGCTGCGCATGCTTTTCAGACCCTGTCAAATCAGCACCCACAGATTCGCGGGTATTCAGTCGCGGGATCAGGCAACTAACAGACGCCCCATGCACCTGAACACTCTGGGACAGCAAATCCTTACTGAGCACCTACTATGCGCTAGGCTCTGTTTCCAGCACTTGGGGACACAGCTGTGAATGACCAGAAAGGGGGCGGGGGTTGCGGGGGGGGAGCTGCCTCCGTGGAGCTTCAGTGGCAGGGTTCGGGGGAGGGGAGACGAGAATAAACACAGCTCTTGGCCCCAGGTTGTGGGAGGAAATGGGCTCAGCGACCCAAAGTCCCTTCCCAGGTGGTTTGTTGGCCTCCGAATCTGGAAATGGACTCTGTCTCCGAAAAGATAGGGGCCCTTGGGTTCCCAGAACCCAGCCTGGCCAGGGCAGGGGGTACGGGTGGGAGGCGATGTCGCAGGCCAGCAGGCCCCACATCACCGCACCCTAACGCCCCTCCCTTCTCCGCCAGGTGAGGGGCCTTCCCACCCCAGGAGGGCTTCCCGCTTCCAACCGATCCCGGACTTTTCCGTAAATTACAACCGAGTTTGGACACCAGCCCTCCCTCTCCCCTCCCCTCTCCCCTTGCCCCCATCCCCTAATGTGAAACCCTACTGAAGGCCACGCGGAGCGGGGAGGGGGCTTCGTGGTCTGCCTCAGCGCTGGGGGGAGGGGGCTCCTGAGTTGGGGGCCGAGGGGTTCACCGCCCCCCTCCTTGGTGGCTCCCCAAACTAAATCACAACTTTTCCTATATATATATATGCATATATATATAGAGCTATAGACAGTATATATATTTTTTGAGTATAGATCATGGGACCAAACTTTTCCGACTTCCTTCCATCCAAGAGAAGGTGACCCTGGCCCGGTCACTCAGCAGGGACATAAGAAGGGCTGAGGATGACCGGGCGGCCCAGTGTCTCCCCATCTCCCGCTGTCATGTCAGACCAGGGCACCAAGAAGCACTGGGAATCATCAGCCAACGCGATATACCTCCAGGACTTTGGGCCCCTGCTGCCGACGGCTCTCGCAGGCCTTTGGGCTCAGCCAGCTCGAGTGTCCCTGGTCTTAGCTGCAGCTTCTGGAACCCCTACCCCCCCCCCCCCCCCCCGGCCCCCCCCCTCCCCCGATTTGGGCAAAAAAGACCCCCCCCCCACCTCCCCCCGTCATAGCCTTACTCATGTGACCAATAGCCCTTAGCTTTCCGTCAGGGGCAGACGGGGTCGGGGGAGCCCCCCGCCCCTCGTGCCCCCTCCCAAGGGCAGGCAGCCACCCTCCCTGCCTTCGGATCACCAGCCTGGAGTTCACGATCTCATGACCAAGATTGCCAAGCGCGTTGGACAAGCCAACCTGCACTGGCCCAGCACCCCTTTACCAGAGATACCTCTACAAATATTTTTTTTTTTTAATTTTGGTCTTTCTGAGCAGATACAAAGAAGAAAAGAGAACAAAATGGGGAAAAAAAATCAGACGACAGTGGATTTTTGTTTCCTAGTTGGGGCGGGGAGGGAGGTCTTGCGGGGGAGTCTCTGTATAGCTACTCAAACCGTGAAAACCCACTTTGAAGCACAGAGTCAAGTTCGTTGGACGTCAGTGGGGCCTCTTGCCAAGTGAGGCACCAGAGAACTTAATAAGCTCAAGAAAAAAAAAATTTGTAAAGAAAAAAAAACAGCATTCCCTTTTGTTTCTACCAAAATGTGTTGACTGACCCAGAAAAAAAAACAAAAAACAAAAAAAAAACAAAAAAAAAAACCCAAAGAAAAAAAAAAAAAAAAAAAAAAAAAAAAAAGAAAGTCCAAAAGGGATTTGTTTCGATATTCCAGAGTTTGATAATTGTTCCGAGACACTCTAGCGTGCCTGTGTCCCGTGCGTCTGCGTGTGCAAGCGCGTGCCCAGGGGCCACGAGGGGGCCTCGTCCGCGTCCCCGGCACCCGCCAAGCCCCCGCCGGGCCTGCTTGGGAGTGCGTGGTGGCGTGCAGTGGCGTGTGTCCTTCTGGTCCATGTTTACCGGCTGTAAATACCATTTTTATACTCCACATCGAAGACCTACGTGATTTGTACGATGTACTTTATTTCTGCTACGAGTAATTTCATGAAGTTTCAACTTGCAAACCGACTTTTGGAGACAAACCGCCACACACACACACACACATACACACACACACACACACACAGAAAAGGAAAACGAGAAAGGGACTTAGAGGGAACTTTGGGTTGACTTGGTTTGAATTTCTGGCTGAAGAGATCCTTGTCACTGTGGCGTGTTCAGGTGAGAAGCTGCAAGCATCATCTTAATGTCCAAACGCCTCTCTTTGGTCTGGAGAAACTGAAAGTTTATTTAATAAAAGTTTTACTTGCTAAAGGACTGGGTCCTCCCTTATTTGCCCTCTCCTCGTCAATAAAGACCGAGCGCGTCTGGCCCGAGTTACCTGGGCAGGAGGAAAAACCCAGATTTCAAGTTAGGGGATGCAGGAGGAGATATTCCGAGAATACTCCCGTGACCAAGATTCCCTCTGATTCGTCCAGAAGTGGAGGAGATAGGACTCTTCCTTCTCCAGGAGAGCAGGTGCCTGTGATGGCGGATTCACACGCTCATTCAGTCTGCAGACACCTGCCGAACCCTTCTGTGCGCCCAGGTAGCCCTGGTCTCTGCCCCTCATGGAGGCGGCCCCACGGAGCAGAGACTCTACAATATGCATTTTCTTTAAGTCGAGGTAGAATTCACATAACATAAAAGTCACCGTTTTTACCATTTTAAAGTTTATAATCCAGTGGCATTAAGCACATTCACAAGGTTGTGCAGAGACAACGTGTGCCTAATTCCAGGACATTCTGACCCACAAAAGCAACCCCATCCCCGTGAACAGTCGCTTCCCTCTCCTCAACCCCCGGCCCCCACGAGCCCCTTTCCCCTCGGTGAATTAGTCTCTTCTGGACGTGTCACACACGTGGACTCACACCCCGTGTGGGGGGCAGCGCATGTGGGTGCCTCGCTCCAGCACCTCACACAGAACAAGGCCAGTTGGGGTGGGAGCTGGAAAGCTGAGTCTGAGTCCACCTGGAAGGGTTTTCTGGGTGGAAGGAACAGCCTGGGCAAAGGCTCAGAGGCTGAGATGTGGAGGTTGGACGGTCAGCCAAGATGCAGCACTGGCTGGAAAGGCAGATGTAGAGGTGGGAGGGACTCAGCTACAGAGGGCCTCTGGTGATTAAGCAGCTACCAAGTGCTGGATTTCGTCCCCACCTTCCCAAGGCCCCAGTCAAGGAGGAAGGGGGGCAAAAAAACAAGTGCACAGCCCTGCAGGAAATAGTAATTCCAGAGGGTGCTACAAGTTGTAACTACAATGAGATGAACCAATCTGGGCTATTGTCTTGAGGGTAATGAGGAACCACAGAAGGGCTTGGAGCAGGGGAGAGACATGATCCTACTTGGGTATGAGAAGGACACCAGGGTGACCTCCGTGCTGCTGCTGGGTTGCAGATATGCACTCTGGAAGATAATGTGGCAGGACAATAGTCCTACCAAGCGTTTACTAAGCACTTATGATTTGCCAAACATTGTTTCAAGCCTGAGTCATACACAACAGTAGCCATTAACTGCACGTAGCTATTTACAGTTAAATCGATTTACGAAATTATAAATTCACTTGGCCAAATGAAGCCACATTTCAAGGGCTCAAGAGCTGCACGTCCATCACTGCATGAAGTTCTTGTGGATAGCATGGGGCTGAGCGTTTCCTATGACTTAACTCACGTAACCTGCCATCACCCTGTGATGGGTGTCCTGATGACAGCCCCATTCTAGGAGTTACTACCAAACTGAGGCCCAGAGAGAGTAAGTGGCTGCCAGAGGCAGCTCAGCAAGAAGGGAATCCTGGCCCTCTGCCTAGTTTTTACCCACTTCCCTGCAGTACGTAGTGGCTAAAATTTAAATATATTAGATTGTAATTCAAGTTATTATTTGTAATACTCCAACTGAAGCTTTAAAATGTAATTCAAAGTTGTTGAGCATTTGGAATGTACATCCTTACAAGACAGCAGTTCTGGTTGGGTGTGTCCACGGAGTGAACAGGCATATGCTTGACACGGCCAAGCCCTGCTGTGATGTCAGTGTTCTTCCGGGGGGATAAGCTAAG